TATGTTGATATAGTGGGGTTTTTTTTTGTTGTTGTCCTAACTGACTGGTTTGTTATATTAGCTAAGACATGAAATTATAAGCAAATTTATGGCTAGGTTAGTTGTAGAACTTAGTTCTTTTAGCTTGCAATGGAAGATTATACAAATCTCAAATTGGTTTCTAACTAGTTTGTGTTTTCTGTTTTGTTTTGTTTTTTACATTTTAAATTTAATTTTACCAATAAAATAAAATAGAAAATCATTTTAAGTAGAACAAAAAAACTAACCATAAATAATTTTAAAAATATTTTTGTAGGATAATTTTTGCAAATCTATTAGTAAATAGCAAAATTTGTAATAGTTGTGCTATTAGGAACAAAATGACCAACTTCAATAGTCAGTGAAAAAAGTTCTAGTTTTATAATTTAAAAAAAATATATAAATAGAGGGTAAAAATATTTCAATTTTAAAAAACAAATTTACAGTTAAAGGTTGGAATAAGAACTTAAGGGTCCTTCAATGATTCTTAAACTTCAACATTTCAATAAAGTAAAAAGTTCTTTTGTTACCTCCAAGCCACTGAGACAGGTGACTTACCTCGCTTAACAGTGATGAAATCTAAAGGCTCTTAGAATCAAAGCCAACCACTTCCCTACTTCATTATCACTTCCCATATTTAAATTCTGGCTAGCAGTCTTAACTAAATTGACTGCATAGAATGGATAATCTTTTAAACAGGTAGGACCAGACACTTTGGATTCAGGGACTCTCTGTTACCATGACAATCTTTATCAAATCTTTATACCTAATCTAGGTCATGTGTTTTCCTACAGGTGGTGGAACTTGAAGGTCAGTGCCTTAAATCTGCTGGCCCCACTGACCATCATGCCCACTGTCACAATTCAAGAAACACTGGACTTGCTAAACAAGGAAGGCTTTGACCAAGTGCCAGTAGTGGATGACTCAGGGTAAGTTATTTTTTCTTGCAAATTTGGATAATTTTACATTTATTCTGTTTGACTACTTAAATTCTGTGTATTTGGTGGATAACTGCAACTGTAGGGTGAGAATAAGCTAAGTAAATATCATAACAGTGAAATTAAAATGTCTAGATTGCTTTTGATTGCTAGGACATTACACTTGTGATTTTCTGCTTAAACTAAGGTTAACGCTTACCTTAGGAAATGGTTTGTTTGAAACTGGCCAAATAAACATGTTTGCTGTCATCACTTCTCCTTCTTTTGAATATTTAGACATTAGCATAGTGCTATGCTATATGAGCTCATTTGGCCTTTTCATTCATGCTACCAACAAGTGCTTGTTAGAGGCAAAGATTACCTATGTATGTAACAAGTTTGGGGGCTCAGTGGCTGAGTGGTTAAGTGCTTGGCTTCCAAACCCGGGGTCCTGGGTACGAATCTCTGGACTGGGATTTTAATCTTACCTTTTTTATAGTGCCTCTGAGTCCACCTAACTCTAATGGGTCCCTGACTTAATTTGGGGAAAGTAAAGGTGGTTGGTTGTTGTTGTTGTTAACTGTTGGCCAGAGTAACAGATAACCTTAACACCATCTGCCCTATAGATCACAAGGTCTGAAAAGGGAACTTTTTATTTCACAAGTTTAAAGTCTGACACTGAAAAATCTCTCAACTTTTTTTTTTCTGGATTAGCTACATTAGAGGATACTTAAGTGTCACAAAATTCTAAAATAATGCATTAACATTGTTAGCATTGTAAAAAAAAAAGTTATAAATCTGGAAGCAAGAGTCAGTTACATTTAGTTATAAAGTAAAAATCACTTTCCCATCTGTGTTTGCTTCAGCAAGATACTGAGTTTATAATGTCAAACTGACTTGATTTATTGCAGTGCTGTTCTAGGCATGGTGACTGTCAGCAATATGATGGCACAGGTTGTGAAGCACAGAGCCAAACGAACTGACCCAGTCTCAAAGGTCATGTACAAGCAGTTCAAGCAGGTCATTTACAGTTTTGAAACATAGATATTGGTTTAGAAAAAAAAAACATTTTTGATTAGATCTGTAGATCTTGTTACTAGATAGAACAAAAAAAACAACAGTTTTGATCTGTTGTACATTTCTAAATAACTTTTCATTTTGCCTGAATGTAGCTACTGAAGTCTGGAAAAATTATTTTAAATTTCGTTATTATCATCAACATCATCTTTCCTTTGCATTCCTCATGGAACATAGGGCCTCAAGTAAAAACACGCCACTCTTCACAGTCTCTTGCTAGTGTTTTAATGGCTTCCCAGCTCTTTCCTGTCCTCTTGGTTTCGTCAAGTACACTGCGTCACCATGTACTTTTTGGTCTCCCTCTACCTCTTGTGCCCGGGGAGTTCCACTCTGTGGCCTGTCTAGCTCTGTTGTTGGTATTTTTTTAAAGTGTAAATTTCGTTATCAGTTACTTGAAAATCCATTTAAAAAAAAAACAAATCTAAATTAAGTAATTAGATAACTAGCTTGAAACAGGTCACTAGGTCATGGCATTGGCTTTAGTGAGGTGTAAGAATGAAAACCAGTTAGGATTAGACATTTTTTTTCTTATTAGTTAAATGAAAATAAAACTTTTAAGGAATATCTAAATGTAAAGTTTGACTAATTTCATAGATCTACAGCATTATATTTCCCTTTCAACAGGTATCAATTACCAAAGCTTTCTCAATAACATTAAGGAATCTGTTTAGCTGATGTCCATAATTGCTTAGTGAGCCATTGTCACAATAAACTTAAACAATATTATAATAGTTTGTGTTGTTTTTTGTTCTAGATCCATATGGACACTTCTTTAGGACAACTGTCTCGGATGTTGGATACGGATCATTTTGTTCTAGTTGTACATAACCAAAGACAGTGTAAGTTTAGTGAATACAAAAATAATTAAAAATGAAGTTTGTAATTCATACATCATTATCCTTTTTACAAAGTCTATATTAACTTGTAATTCTAACCATTGTTTCCATGAAAGCAAATATAACTACATTCCCTTACAGCCTCAACCATTGGTTTTTCTGTAGATGGAAGTGGTGGTAAAGTTGAAAAGAAGCAGATGATATTTGGGATTGCAACCAGGATCGACCTTTTGAACTTTATCACTTCTAAAGATGGACATGAGCAGTAACCTTGACATTGGGGAAGACGACTGATACGAAGTATTCTCTTTGGACCAGACTTTTTAATTTCTTTTTATATTTTGCTTGACAGAACTCTATAGTTGTTGATAGAATCTCTTAAGAAGAATATTCTAAATTATCTTATCATAATGTGAGATGGTGGCAGAATATTTAGGTCCCGGTTGGGTCTATGTTGCAATGTTAAAATCTGCAAACTTCCAGGGCCTTATTTCTACAAAGAGGGTTTTGATATCTGTACAAAATATTTATATTAAAAAAAAAAAAGATCTCATTTTGTTGAAAAGTTTTTTTGTTAGCTCTCCCGGTGACAATTTGTTCACATCTTATGAAAGTTTTCATTTGATGTCTCCAAACATATTGCATATAAACAATAACAGAATCACACCAAATATTTTACTCTAGCAACTGAAATAGTTAAGGGACCAATGTTTAGATCAAGGCCAGTGATTTCAAATTAATGAAATGTGTCGTTTATATTTGTTTGTCTTACCAAACTTACTAAATCTAATAATCTTTTTTTTTTTTCAAGAATGGGAAATGTTCTAATAATCATTGAACATAACATATAGTGTTGTCTACGTGTTCAGCTATACAGTTAAGTGTTGAAATTACTGGCCAATAAGTTTTCTGAAGGTTCAGAAAATTTTTTATATTTCTTGTTGCCTCTCGTTATCCTATTGCACAAATCTTTTTTTTTTCCCATGATTGTTGCCAGTACATAAGCTTTAACACAAAAGTTTTGGTTATATCTTCTTGAAAAGCAGTTATTGGATGATCCTGACCTGCAGTTAACATCAGCTAACATTTATCACATCACTTAAATGGCGACATAAGGCCTCATTTATTGAAACAGTGTAATAATTGAATATCACCAAAGCCTTGTAGTTGGTATCATTGCTGTGAAACAAGAAGAACTTTTGTTATTTTTTTTAACATTGAAAAGATTGTTATTTATAAATAATTGTAAGCACAAATCCATTCTTCGTACAAAACATTTGTTTAATTCTGGGTATATTTTACTAGTTCTGGGTTTGTTTGACTAGTTTTTGTGTCTGTTTTATTTATTTACAAATACATTCAAATTTTGCATTGTTTCAGTTGAACAAAAAAAAAATTTCCTATAAAAGTTAAAAAAAAATTTTTTTTAATTCATTTTATTGAAGCGCAAAATCTTAAATAGTAATTTTCAAAGTGTTAACATAATTTGCATTTATTAATTACTCTACGTAGAAGTTTGTTTTGTTTACTAACAGATTCAGTAATTGATATAAATATTTGTAGTGCAGAGCAGCGGTTATTGCTGTATTATTTTCGTTTGTGATGGTCTTGTGAAACTCTCTAGGTAAATGTAAGCAATTGACAAAGTTATGGTGATCACACAACAATTTAAGTCTCCTTATGCAGCATAAGAATATTAAACTTGCCACAAATTGATGTGTATTTATTTATTGTTATTATGATTAATACCAGCATATTCTATTGAGCGTTCTATGTGCACATTGGCTTTTTGGTCCACTGCTTTTGATAAGGCCTAATATATACTTCACAATGTTTTTGTTTTGACACATAACTCTATTGAACTAAACATTTTAATAAAGACATACATCTATATTTTATACCTTTCGCTATAATTATATTACTTACTTTACTTATGAGGAAAATGTTTTTTTGTTGATCTGTTTGAAGAAGGAACTTGTACACTTGTTAAAGAAATGTCTCTTTATATACATTATCATAGCTGGGCTGAAAATGGTGACTTTAGTCTTAGGAGGTTTTCTGTTAACTTTCAAAATCAATAAGGTAATTTTGATTCAACCTTTCATTGATAGTATGTTCAATAGTTTAGTATTTACTGTCTTTAGCCATATAGTTTTTTGTTTACAAAAATGATAGCATCATCTTTAGCTGAAAATCTGTCCTCCAAGCATAACTTTAGTTTAGAAAATGTGCCAAATCGGCCAACAGAGAGGCATGAGAGGTTGGAGCATGGCTGAAGATTTATCTAAAAGTAGATTATGGACTGAATTAATCCTGTGCACTCGCAAGAGAGCATAGGTCCGCAACCACACCTCTCCACCGAACTCAGTTCTGAGCAGCTTTCTTTATCTGCTTCCATGTCATTCCAGTATTCTCTGCTTCACTGATGACTGACCTCTTCCAGGTTTGTTTGGGCCTGCCCTCTTTCCTTGCGAATTCCAATCAAGTGCCTGCCTTGCAACATTGGTAGCTTGTTTTGGCAGGCTGTGTCCTATCTAGATCCAGATTATGCAGTGAATTACAAATAAGTTGGAATAAAATTTAGAAACTTTCCATACCCCACTTCCCAATAACACGCGCATTATAATATTGAATCAATCGAATCAGATATGTGTATATAATATAATAATGAACTGAGATAGATATAAAAGGTTTACAATTTTACTTAGATGAGAAAGTTATTTGTGAAAAACAAAATGTGACAGAGAACAACTGATAAATGTGCCTTATAGATCTGCATATTAAAGTTATAACAAACACTTCATTTCATATCAAAGATGACCACAAAGGTGTTGTATGTTTGAACATCATTTATAACCAGACCTGGTTCATTTCTCACAGTATTTGATATCAACTTGGCCCCAATCCTTACTGAGTCTGAAGTTATCTTAGAAAGAGAACAAATTTAAATTGTTGAAGTGTGCTCCACTCGTTCAAACTTACAAACACATCAAAGATGACATGTAAAAAATAACCTCACATCATCTAGCAATCTTCTCCTTACATACTCAATATTGAGTTTATCTTACTTGTATCCACTTTATACTAAGAATTTATTCATGTCTTCCTTAAAGGGCCTGATGTACAATAGTATTTGTGTGTGTGTGCGCATGTATAGAAACATTGAATACCATCTGTTTACAATGTCTGGTTATATAGGTTGAAGTGAGACTGATACTTCTGCTGTGGTCTCTTAATTTTTTTGTTCACTTTCATCCAGATTTATCTAGAATTTATCTCATTATCCCCCCCCCTTTGACATTTTTCTCATTTTGATATTGTTTTATGCTTATTGATGGTTTTGTTTTGACATTTGAAATGCTAAAAAAAATATTACATTCTTAGATGTGTATTGAACAGTAATGAAATGAAATAAAGGGTTTGGTTGTAGAAGTGTTTACTATGTTTTCTTCTGTTTTAGTGGCCCCCATAAGGAAAAGATATTTTCTGTTTTGTGTCTGTCCATCTGTCTGTCACTTATAGATTTTAAAAAAGAAATGCTTTCATCATCTGTCATGTGTGTGTGATACAATTAGGCTACTTATTAAAAATAATCTATTGTTAGTTTCAAATTTATTAAAAATAATCTATTGTTAGTTTCAAATTTATTAAAAATAATCTATTGTTAGTTTCAAATTTATTAAAAATAATCTATTGTTAGTTTCAAATTTATTAAAAATAATCTATTGTTAGTTTCAAATTTATTAAAAATAATCTATTGTTAGTTTCAAATTTATTAAAAATAATCTATTGTTAGTTTCAAATTTATTAAAAATAATCTATTGTTAGTTTCAAATTTATTAAAAATAATCTATTGTTAGTTTCAAATTTATTAAAAATAATCTATTGTTAGTTTCAAATTTATTAAAAATAATCTATTGTTAGTTTCAAATTTATTAAAAATAATCTATTGTTAGTTTCAAATTTATTAAAAATAATCTATTGTTAGTTTCAAATTTATTAAAAATAATCTATTGTTAGTTTCAAATTTATTAAAAATAATCTATTGTTAGTTTCAAATTTATTAAAAATAATCTATTGTTAGTTTCAAATTTATTAAAAATAATCTATTGTTAGTTTCAAATTTATTAAAAATAATCTATTGTTAGTTTCAAATTTATTAAAAATAATCTATTGTTAGTTTCAAATTTATTAAAAATAATCTATTGTTAGTTTCAAATTTATTAAAAATAATCTATTGTTAGTTTCAAATTTATTAAAAATAATCTATTGTTAGTTTCAAATTTATTAAAAATAATCTATTGTTAGTTTCAAATTTATTAAAAATAATCTATTGTTAGTTTCAAATTTATTAAAAATAATCTATTGTTAGTTTCAAATTTATTAAAAATAATCTATTGTTAGTTTCAAATTTATTAAAAATAATCTATTGTTAGTTTCAAATTTATTAAAAATAATCTATTGTTAGTTTCAAATTTATTAAAAATAATCTATTGTTAGTTTCAAATTTATTAAAAATAATCTATTGTTAGTTTCAAATTTATTAAAAATAATCTATTGTTAGTTTCAAATTTATTAAAAATAATCTATTGTTAGTTTCAAATTTATTAAAAATAATCTATTGTTAGTTTCAAATTTATTAAAAATAATCTATTGTTAGTTTCAAATTTATTAAAAATAATCTATTGTTAGTTTCAAATTTATTAAAAATAATCTATTGTTAGTTTCAAATTTATTAAAAATAATCTATTGTTAGTTTCAAATTTATTAAAAATAATCTATTGTTAGTTTCAAATTTATTAAAAATAATCTATTGTTAGTTTCAAATTTATTAAAAATAATCTATTGTTAGTTTCAAATTTATTAAAAATAATCTATTGTTAGTTTCAAATTTATTAAAAATAATCTATTGTTAGTTTCAAATTTATTAAAAATAATCTATTGTTAGTTTCAAATTTATTAAAAATAATCTATTGTTAGTTTCAAATTTATTAAAAATAATCTATTGTTAGTTTCAAATTTATTAAAAATAATCTATTGTTAGTTTCAAATTTATTAAAAATAATCTATTGTTAGTTTCAAATTTATTAAAAATAATCTATTGTTAGTTTCAAATTTATTAAAAATAATCTATTGTTAGTTTCAAATTTATTAAAAATAATCTATTGTTAGTTTCAAATTTATTAAAAATAATCTATTGTTAGTTTCAAATTTATTAAAAATAATCTATTGTTAGTTTCAAATTTATTAAAAATAATCTATTGTTAGTTTCAAATTTATTAAAAATAATCTATTGTTAGTTTCAAATTTATTAAAAATAATCTATTGTTAGTTTCAAATTTATTAAAAATAATCTATTGTTAGTTTCAAATTTATTAAAAATAATCTATTGTTAGTTTCAAATTTATTAAAAATAATCTATTGTTAGTTTCAAATTTATTAAAAATAATCTATTGTTAGTTTCAAATTTATTAAAAATAATCTATTGTTAGTTTCAAATTTATTAAAAATAATCTATTGTTAGTTTCAAATTTATTAAAAATAATCTATTGTTAGTTTCAAATTTATTAAAAATAATCTATTGTTAGTTTCAAATTTATTAAAAATAATCTATTGTTAGTTTCAAATTTATTAAAAATAATCTATTGTTAGTTTCAAATTTATTAAAAATAATCTATTGTTAGTTTCAAATTTATTAAAAATAATCTATTGTTAGTTTCAAATTTATTAAAAATAATCTATTGTTAGTTTCAAATTTATTAAAAATAATCTATTGTTAGTTTCAAATTTATTAAAAATAATCTATTGTTAGTTTCAAATTTATTAAAAATAATCTATTGTTAGTTTCAAATTTATTAAAAATAATCTATTGTTAGTTTCAAATTTATTAAAAATAATCTATTGTTAGTTTCAAATTTATTAAAAATAATCTATTGTTAGTTTCAAATTTATTAAAAATAATCTATTGTTAGTTTCAAATTTATTAAAAATAATCTATTGTTAGTTTCAAATTTATTAAAAATAATCTATTGTTAGTTTCAAATTTATTAAAAATAATCTATTGTTAGTTTCAAATTTATTAAAAATAATCTATTGTTAGTTTCAAATTTATTAAAAATAATCTATTGTTAGTTTCAAATTTATTAAAAATAATCTATTGTTAGTTTCAAATTTATTAAAAATAATCTATTGTTAGTTTCAAATTTATTAAAAATAATCTATTGTTAGTTTCAAATTTATTAAAAATAATCTATTGTTAGTTTCAAATTTATTAAAAATAATCTATTGTTAGTTTCAAATTTATTAAAAATAATCTATTGTTAGTTTCAAATTTATTAAAAATAATCTATTGTTAGTTTCAAATTTATTAAAAATAATCTATTGTTAGTTTCAAATTTATTAAAAATAATCTATTGTTAGTTTCAAATTTATTAAAAATAATCTATTGTTAGTTTCAAATTTATTAAAAATAATCTATTGTTAGTTTCAAATTTGTAAGTAACGACCTATTCTTTACACGAGGCTTATCTCCCCTTATCTAGTAATGACACATATATAACGAAAATTAATTAATTACGACTAATTTATAAAATAGTTCATCATTGTTTTTAATAATTCACAAAAAGGAGGTAAATCTATAAATAGAAAATATTTGAGTGTATCCGGTGTACAGACTGCACAATATTATTGATAAACTTAATATTTTTAAAACCATATGACATTTTTTGTGCACCTTTTTAAAGTACATTAAATGGCCTAAATTGTGCCGAAAACTCATACTTTACTCTTACAACAAAGAACAGAATACTGTAAATAGCTTGAAATACTATTTCCTATAATTTCTGGTTATGTATGTCTACTGTTATCATTAGTCTGTCCAGCTATCGGTTTTAATTAACTTACCCTAGTCTTAATGTATAAGGGCCCATAATAGTTTCCATCTTTAGCTTATTATGTAACACGAAGCGTTGAAGCTATAGCATAAATCGATCTCTACCCTAGCATAGCCGCGATCTCCACACAAGCATAGCCGATATTTTGTTTTACTGCCTCTAAGTAGGCTAAATGTAAGTCAACATTTTTAACACCTCACCCTCCCCCCACACACACACACACAAACACACCACACTTTTAAAAGCTCCACTAATTTTAGTTTGGCCTTTAAAGTCTGAAGTTAAGTCTACATCAGATAATAGTGTAGTGCAATGTTGTTAAATACACTTTAGAACAGGATTATAACGAATCCAAAATAAATCAAAGAGAGGCAGCACATGCATCGCCCCCCCCCCCCCCCACCGAGACTAGCCATGGGGGGGGGGGGGGTTACTGGATACTAAATAGTCTGTTTTGAATCAAACTGAAACATAGGATTTCAGGTTTATTTTGTGTGTGTGTGTGATTGTCACTCTTATTGTGACGTGAAAAGATGTGCAATATTGCCCTAAATAGTCCTACTTGTACCCTATCTTCTTCTCTT